AAATTTTTGAATACCACAATTTAGGTTAGGTCGAAAGATTAGAACAGCACATTTGATCTTAATCTTCCAACCTAACCTTAAAAACAGTGGAATAGATACAGTATACAGAGTACCAAAATAATCAGGAAAACAATACTAGCGTGCTCCAAACTATACCAGGCCTTCTAAACTCAAACTTATACACAAAGTACGAAAGCACATTTAATGATCAAGATTATAGCCAGTATTGATTGCGGTAAGACACAGTGACCGACAATAGCGTGAAAGCAATTAAGAATTTAATTAGCTGCGGCTGTTCATGATGCCACAGCATCAAAATTCCAGCAATAATCGATTTGAGCAGTAGTGGATTAAGAAAAAAACAAAAAAAAACAGCATAAAAATAACAAAAACAAAGGCACACAAAAACTGCAACAAACATGCAGGAAATCAAAGTAGAAAGCAAGGTGTTCAACAAACAGCACTTAATGACACGCGCGATTAATAGTCCAAAAGGTATAAAGACTTGCACGCCGAGGCAACTGCTGCGCATGATTACCAAGCACTTGTGCCATAGTTGTTGATTTTTTCATAATTTAATTTTGTTGTTTTACCGCTTTATTTGTTTATTTCATTTTTTTCATGGCTCACTGTGGCAATGCGACAATCTAACAAGCTTAATTGCTGGATAAGAAACTAAATACGAGTGTCTAAATTGGAAATGAAAAAAGAATATTAACAAAAACACATTATCGGTAGGCTTTCTATGCCGCCAGCTGTGTAGAAAGTTTACAATTAAACACATTGCCACAAAATCGCCGTCGCATTCATGATGCAGCAACATTCGAAGATGATTGTGCGCTGCCGTTTTTCGCTACTAAATTCTTTTTATGCCACGCTGGTTTTTGTCATCGCTGCCACACTTGCTGCCTGTGTGTGTTTTTCGCGTATGCGTTCTGCGCATGCGTACCTGACCTAACCTCTTGCCTAGCCAATTTACTGCTTTTGCGAGTGTGCTACTATTGTTCGTGTTGCTCTTGTGCGCTGTTATCGCCTAGCTGACTGTTGGTTAGCTACTTGCTGTTCTTCTACTGCACACATACATACACACATACAGGCGCTCGAAGCTACATTTGCATTCCACTGCTGTAGCTTCTTCAGCGCCGCTTTTATGCTTGTGCGTTCTGCGGCTATTTTACATACTCAAAATAATTGGCGTTTGCTGCCTCACTCGCCCCTCGCGTTCGTTGTTGTTCTTGGTTGTGGCAAGTTCTTTTTATTATTGACTATAATTTGGTCGCTTAACGGTGCAATTTGCAATTACACAGCGCTGCGCGGCGCGCCGAGGTCATAACACAACGCAGCAGCAGCCACAGTAGTGGCTTTTTCATTTCTATTTTCTCGCTTCTGCCTGGAGCGCACAAACACCATGACAGATATGGGCAAACATGTGTGGCTTGTGGCCAGGTAAATGGCATTTCTACACTTACATTTGGCACAAATCGAATTATCGACCTCGGTAGCCACTAATCGCTGTCGCCGTAGCTGCCGAGTGCGCGCACTGCCAGTAGCTGCTAAAGCAGATGGCTGCCTTGTGTACTCTTGGCTCTAAGCGCTCCCAATTGCTTGCGAAGCCGCAGTAGATAGGCTCTTTGGTGGTACCGTGGCATATTATAACTATATGAAATATTAACATACTTACATATCTGATTTGATTTTCCAATTTGTTAAGTGTCTTCGTTCTTGCCAAAGTGGCAGCACTGCACTTGTCATTTGTTATTATAGCTGTTTTTTATCGTTGCTGAACACCTCATTTGCGGCCTTATTAATCTGTCAAACCGTGACAAATGATGTTAGTAGGCAACATAACCGACTGATTTATGATCTACAGGGCAGTAAACCAAGTAGAAATACAAATTCCAAACTGTGTTGAAAAACTGCTTAAATTTACTAACTCTATATATACTATACTAGTTTATTATTACCTACAAAAGAGTTGGTAACTACTCCCTAAGTAACTAGTCTCAAACTAGTTTTAACAAGGATTTTTATTTCTTTTTGCAACAAAAAGAAATATTCATAAATATTTTTAATACATATGGCAAGGCTTAAGCTCTTTTGCGAGAAAATGTTGTAATTAAACCATTTAGAATCTCATATTTACTTAAGTAAACTAAAGTCGTGTTTAAGGTTTTCCATGTATAAACAATTGCCTAATGTTCGTTTTGGATTGCTTAAGAAGTCAGCACTGAGCACAGATATTCTAGAAGTGAGATCAAATATCTTAATAGGGCAGAAAAATTATGTTGCATAACCGAGTAGTAACTGCATAACACCAAAAAATCGTGTTTGATTCGAGTTAAAGAAAATTTTACTATGTTAAACTCGGAGTTAATGAATCGTTTTCAATACTTAACGCCAAAACAAATTCATGTTTCAAAATAGTAACATATAATTATTTTTGTATTTAATAATTTATTATTATACACTTATTTAAAGATGGTATTTGAGGCGATTTAAAGGAATTTTTTACGTAGACTCGGGTTTTATGAGTAGTATTTAAGCTTAACAACAAAATAAACTCAAGTTTAAACATTTTAACATATAATATTTTTTTCAAATATATTTAAGGCAAGTAAAAGAAAATTGTGTATGGTAAAGAGTTTATTAATCGTGTTTAATAGTATACACCACAAAAAGCTTGAGTTTAAGCACTTAATATATAATTCTGTTTTTAATTGAACACAAAAATTTTTTGTTTAAATATTGTTTATTATTTACTTTCTATAACCCGCTATTCTTCAACATTAACGTTACCTTCCACATAATTTTCCTGTTGTTAAAATATTTCGCCAAGCATTGGACTTTTATGTGGGCATCCATGCTGGTTGTATATAAAGTATACAAGTAATTTATATACATCTTAAACTCATAAAGTTTTAATGGTTAAAGAAATAACTTCTAATGGCGTAAGTGCCGTTATAATATAGCCAACAAACCGAAGCCAATTATATTAGAAGATATTGCACTTTATTTTTACTACTTACAAATAAAAAAAATGGTGGGGTATTACAACCAAGCGTCGAACTGAAAACAACCCTCCAGCATCACAACTTTAGGCGGTGTAGACGTAATTCTTATCGCACTCACTGTAGGTATATGTATTTATGTTTTAAGCTATGTAGGTGTGTTTATACTGTTACATATGATTGTAATTTGATACTTGACACGTGTTGCATCCCTGGGGAATTTATTAAAACGAAATATTGCAAACCCTCTACTCTATAATATCCTTCCACAATTAGTTGGCGTTATATGTTAAAATATGTATTTTTCGACTTCAGGTTAGGCTAAAACGTTATTTTAATGTGTTGGAAATTTCTAGTATATTTTTTTGTTCTTACTTACTTACTGTGGTTTAATGTAAACCCAGTGGTAACCCTAAACGCTCACAATACATTCAACGGTAAAAATATTTTCATCCGCCAATTCAAAACTAATTTCAAAATTATTTATTTTTTTATACAGAAATACTAAAAAACAATAACAATAGAAATCGAATCGATTAAAATTTGCACAAGCCAATGCAAACAATAAACCTTTGAGGGGTCAAAACAAGCAGACTAAAGGATATATCAGGGTGCATTAAGCGTTACAAGCTTGTCAAATGCGCTTCCGGCGCGTTTTGTTTACATAACAAGAAGCAAAAACAAACACAAACAATAGCAAATGCCTAACAAATGAGCTGAAAACCACAATCAGCACTTTTTTGTTTGAAAATTTTTTAAGTTTATGTTTTGCTTTTGCATTTTAAATTGCTTTTGTTTCGCAATTTGTTAGCAAACAATTGGTATTAAGCTGACAATAGAATTGGTGGGCATTTCCAGGGGTGCAAATTGGCAATGCACGCACAGGGTTTGCGGCATTTTTAATTTTTTCAGCTAAATGGGGGTGGTTGGCTTTTGGTTTTTGTTACACAATTTTATAATTATGAACCTGTGGGCATATAACAGTTGTTTATTTTACATTTATATTTTTTTATTTATTTTTTGGATAAAAAAAATCCTCTTAAAACAATATATCAGAGCTTAGGTGTTTGAAACGATATTTATTTTGAGTTTAAGGTATATAAAACTTAATTCTTTAAAATATATTCTTATGTTTCTGGTAGATCGCATACTGAAATAATTTAAACCAACATATTTGATATTTGTTTCGGATCATTATTTTAAAAGCGTTGCCTACATTTTGGCGCAATGTTAATATATATGATGTGAAAATTGAGATAAAAATTAGATTTCAAGGTCAAAATTAAGTACTTAGCTGTTGATTCTATTGCGAAACAGAAAATTTGAGAAGAGAGAAATTTAAATATTGGTATAATAATATATTTTCTATCAGTGGCATAAGTTCTACCTGTACAAAATATGATGAGGTAAAGCGAAGGGTTACTCTATTAGCGCAAGTTTAAGCTTAAAATTTAAAGCTTGGAACTTTAGGGTCATAACTTTCGAAACTTAGTAAGAAAGTATTTTAATAAACTTCGCCGTCTAACCTGGTGACTTGAGAGCCTAAGTTATTGAATAAAACGTATGAAAATTGTTAAAAAGTGTTAGTTTTGAAGAATTGTTATTTTTTACCATGAACTCTGAGTCGAAAAAAATATACAGTACAATACAAAGTACAAATATTTTTGGGTGTTATATTTATTGTCTTATAAAACCCAAGTAACTCTGACTGCTAAAAGTGGGGTTGAATAACTCATCTTGGTACTCAAAACTTGGCCTTTAATCCAGAAACAGTCAATATTTTTTCTTACTTTGTCTTATTTAGGTATTCGATATAAAAATATGTGATGAGAATTTCGACAAAAGACTTCTGTTTTGATTTCGCCTTCTTTTTACCTTCCGACATCAAATTAATTTCTAATTTTTACCTTTAACTTTAATATTTATTTAATTTTCAACTTAATTTTTTATAACCGCTCATAATATTAATTTATATACTTTTTTTATTTCCAGGATATTGCAAGATGACCAGAAAAGGTTCGAGTCCACTGGGGCTCGACATGTTGGCAGTCTCAGTGGCAGTGGCATTCATCTTTCTGCCATTGTTAGCACAAGCCGGTAAGTAAATTACAAATATATAAATAAATTGTATATAAATTGATTAATATGAGGCAATAAATTACAAATACAAATGAATGTCCATTAAGAAGACATGAAATAAATGCCGAATTAAAAAAAGCAAGTAGCAGCTATTTAATAACCATACAATTTTGTGTGAGTTGCAATGCCATAAAAACAATAAAGAGAAAGCAATATGAGTAATGAATCAACTGTAAGAATAAAGGAAAAATAGAGCAGGGCATTTGTGATGGCAATAAATAAATAGACACAAAAAGTTAGAGTGCAAGAAATATAGGGCAAATATAGGTATACTAATATATATAATATTGTATGGATATGGAATATACGAGTATTTGCACAGAAAAATTGCACATATGTGACATGATAAGCAAAATTAATGCCTTAACCTGCAACTTCAAATAAATTTGCGACACATTGCGAATTTGAACGAAATTCCTAGAATTGGTATGCTTTACTACACATACAACAATACATACAAATTCTACTTAAACAAAGCCTTTGTAATGAGAGTGGTGCGAATGAGGCGGGCAAGGATGAAAGTGCACCTGTCAGCGCTCCCCTCAGCATTCGATACGCATTGGTCACCAATTTGCGGCAGTAAGCACTAAATGCGCTGCTGACACACACACGGACACATATACATGTACATAAGTATATAAATATCTAAATGGATTTAAACAAAAGAACTTGTCACTCCGTTAATTATTTCCCAGCTGCCAAATTAAAAAGAATTATCCATTAATGTGCCGCATATTAAAGGCAGAAATGCGCACAGACTCAGAGCCATTGTGTTTCACGCACATACGCATACACTCATGCTAGCATACAGTCTCCGCCTACTCATGCGCCCTCATACGTTGTGTATACAAGTAGTCAGAAACTCACACATATGTGTGGGTGTGTGTGTGTGTGTATACATGTGTGAAGGTGTCAACGTATGAGCGTAAGTGTGCATGCATGTGTAGAGATTGCATTTACAAGCAACCGGCAGCTCGAGTGACCCTTGACACGCTTTTGGCGTTACGGGCAATAAAAACGAATTGATTTTCTTTCGGCGTTTTTACGGATTTTTTCTAAATAAAGCAGTTTAGTAGTGTGTACAGAGGACTGTAACTGAAGTTGGGGTATTTTTGTGTACTTGCCGACACTATTAACACCAACGCTAATGCCATACGGTACACAAATAGTACAGTTTGCGGTGCCAGCAACAACAAAAGACATACTTTAATACTGTATCAACATACAACCCTCAACACAACATAAACTCGGCTTAGCCATCATAATCAGAAATTTAGCCACAATACTAAATTTTATATATTTATTTATTTTATTTACGATTTGTCATTATTGTCACTTTCTATGCCCACTTCGTATGGTTTTTGGGCATTTTCTGCTATTCGGCCAATTTGACAAATCACTATCAGCTGTCATTAGTCACAGAAAATAATAGATTGCCAACGCGGCGGCTTGGTTCTGTTTGTAGCTCTGTTTCGGTGGGGTCAATGTATTCTGTTGCTTAATTAAGCGTATTTGCTTCATTTAAATTGCTGCAACTTGTTTAGTGCCAAAAAATCTGTTGCATTTTCTGCCCTCAGCCAGTCGCGCATTTTCACGCAGTCTGCTAAATTGGGGTGGCTCTGCCTCTTGCGGAAGGGATGCGTCTGTGTGCACAGCCAATTTATAAATGTGCCACGGTTTAATTTTAATTTTTTTATTTCTGTCTTCCATTTACTTTGCTAGTCATTGACATTGAATGCGAATTTCATTGTGCGCAAATTCAATTGATGCCATTTGTGTTAAATTTTTGCGTCAATTTATTTATAGAGATTCCACAAAACCAATTTTATTCACGCGAATTCATTTAACCGGCGCAAATTAATACAAAGTCAAGTGCTGGCGCATGGCCAATTGGAATTCGTTTGCAGAGAACCTATTAAATTTACAAAAAACACAAATAGCTGAAACTTGCATACGACATTACTAGAAAAATATATTTGTATTCGTATACTGATTTCCTGCTGGGTCCGTATTGGAATATATTTTAAATATTGCGACAATTTGAGTATTATTTTTTCTTTTTTAAAAATACGAATGGGCAAAATAAAGTTAAATACAAAATATATAGGAATCTGAAAATAATGAGTGAAAAATGAGAAATAAATTGCTTAAAAATTTTCTTACCGAAAAAAATTAGTTAACTTGATTTTTATATAAATAAAATAAAAAATAATTAAATCAAAACATGCGTATGAAAAAATTAAGATACAGTTAAACCTGAGTAAGAGAGAAGTGGGTAAACAAGAAAACTCTATAAGTGAGAATTATTCTCAGGTCCCGCACTTTGACATCTCAAAAACCTCTATGAGTGAGAAACAAAAACCTCCATAAGTGACAGTCGTTTTTCCCACTTTGACCTCTATAACTGAGAGCCTATTTTGTATTTACCTCTATAAGCGACAATTTTCCTATGTATGACTCATTCCTTTTTTTTACAGGAATCAGGAACTATGTTGTTTTCCTGTAATTTAAAGAAATAATATATAATTGTATTAACTTATTTGTCAGGCTTACTGCAGTTCGTAAATATTATTTGCAACAAGCAGTATAGCTCTTACAACAACTTATAATGTCTAAGCGAAAGATCAACATGTTGTTGTTAAGTGATAAACTGAAAATTATAAATGCATTTGAGTCGGGATAAGCATAGTGTGAAATACGAAGTGAATTTGGATTACCGGTATCTAACTATTATATAATTTAAAGACTCCATAAAGTTCCAGTGCTCCGAGGATTAGTACGCTACAGCATTAGTGAGAAACCTCTATAAGCGACAAAAAATCATGGTCTCTTGAACTCTCTTGAAAAAATTTAACTAAATTTAACCTCATATATATAATATATATATTTATATATATTTGTTTACATATGTTAACACAGGGTTGCAAAACATATATACTATAAATATAACCACATGAACACCAAATTAAATAAACAGATTGGTTTACTATAAAAATAAATAGTCTGCCCGTACATGTCTGCGGAGTCTGCTCTAACGAAAATAATATTTCAAATCGTATTTCAAAAAACGAACGAAAAAAAATTGCCACAAAAATAAATCAAATCAAAATGACAGCCATTAAATGTTTGCTCCAGTGCGGCGAGCCACAAAGCAAGCTGCCGGCTGTGGCGGTGTGCTGGCGGCGGCTGAGTGTGAGATTGTGGTTGCACGCCTCTTAGGGTCAGCGCACCTTTTGAAAGGCTGCTATGCCTATTCACCTGCACGCGGTGTTCAAACGCATGCAAATGCAAGCACTTACACATACATAAATATACTTATGTATATAAAACCGTGTGTGTCTGCTTTTTTTGTAAGGATGTGTATGTGTGTGTATGCTTTTATGAGGTTTTGCGGTTTTTCCATTTCTAAGCCTTTACTGAGGATTTACCATAGTTAGTACTACTCGCTTTGTTGTTGTTGCTCTTTGTTAGTTATTTATTTATTTACTATTTTCCATCACAAACAAAAGCCTCTAATTTTCATTCATTTCCGCCAAAGAAATGCCCATGCATTTAACGGACTATTAATGCTCGTTGTTGTTGTTGCAGTTGCAGCCTCCCTTTCGCTGTTTGGCTGCGAGGCGTTTACGCCTCTCGTAAGCAGCATTTAAAATATTTAACGGTTTTTGGGCGAAATCTTCATTCAGTCAGTTGGTCGCGCGGTCGCGTGACCAGACACTAGTAAATACATACATACATATACACAGTACTAATACATGCAGATTTGCCCTGTATGATTTCTAGACAATTTCCGTTATTTAGTCGCTCATTAATTTATTTGTAGTTGTAAATTGCGTTATGACTGGCAAATGGCGGACTTTCACATAACCCATAAGTCTTGGCAGGAATGCGAAAGAGAAATTAAAATCGATTGGCATGAATATGAAGACGATTGAATAAAAACAAAAAAAAATTAAGTTTTCAAATTAGTTTGTATGTGTGTGTAATACACAGAAATGTGAATGTTCCGCAAAGTTTAAGAATTAAAACAAGCAAAACAATAAACGCTCACCGCTTTTAATAACTCATTCCACCAGCGCATCACCAGTCTTTGTTTATAGCTCATGGCACGGGTTGTTGCGCTTTATGACTTACAGCCTCCTTTTATTTATGGCTTTTCGATTCAATAACAAGTTGGTGCTCAAACATGTTGCTCAGACATATCGAAAATGTCGGTCAATAGGCATAAAAGTTGTAATAAAAGAATTATAGTTACAATAACAATAATAAAGGTTTAAACGAACTCGAGGTATTAAGTGATTGAAATGCAGTAGCTAGGCAGCTGGCTTATGATCATGCACACCATATCTACTTACATGATTTAACGGATTAAACTAAAGTATTTTTAAGCAACCAATAGTTCATGAAATTTTTTCAAAAATATTATTTTCATTGAAAACTTAATAAATTTGGACGTGCATATTTGATAGAAAGAACCGCGCATATGTTGTAAATTAACACAAAATAAGAAACAATACATCTTTAGTCGATGAGCGATCATAATATTTTTATATTGATTTAAGGAACTTACATTAGGGTGGGTTTCCATCGATTTTTACATATGCTTAATCGATAATCATGTTAAAAATCACATTCAAAATATATATTCAATCCAGACACATAATCTTAATATTATTGTCAATTTTTATCGATAAATATATAATCTATTGCGATTTAGTTCGATGTATCGATTATATAATTTCAATTACGGAAACTTTAAAATTATTAGTCTGGTACAACCTCTGCCGAAAAGGTTTTTCAAATCACCAAGATACTTAATATTTTCGGTCTCATATCGATTTTCACATATATTTTATCGATCGTCAGAGTCCCGTTTATAACTGATGACACAATCCACAAATAACCTTAATTTTAATTTATGTGTGCATGTTATCGATGAATAAAAAATCGAATATATT